CAGCACATTATTTTTAAGGCGCACAAATGTAATAATGGGTCATATATAGTATTAATGGTGGCCACTGAACTAAACGCCATCATGGCACATTCCAAGCTAAGGTGTTTGTAGTCAAGAACGGACTACTGCCCATTACTAAACTTTAACCCTTTTCCTGTTCCAGCTTAATATATACTTTTCTAGCCATCATCTTTTTTCCTAAATACTCATATACAAATAAAAATATATATTAGGTTTTTATTGATGTTCAATTATCTAACTTTATCAATTATGACAATTCTTAACCATAGATACCAGACCATTGAATGGGGAGGGGCAAAGTCAGAGGGTCAGTATTTAAACCTTGCGGTAATTTCTGTTAATTCTTCTATACGAATCTAATTAAATTAACTATTTTCAGTTAAAAAATAGTGTTGAAATATTTAGCTGAGATTCTTATCGATTTCCTTAAATAAGAATAGTTCATCAAAATTCAAAATATTTAAAAAAAAAAATTACTGAATTTATTTAATGGAAAATAACTATTTTCAATAAAATAAATCCAGTACATTTAAAATATTTTGTTTGGTATATAAAAAAAAATCATTCTTTCCCACTTGGTAACCCCTGGCGTCTTAGTGACTTTATTGCCTTGCTTGGGGGTGAAGTAATTTAAAAATAGAAAAACAAAAACACTGAAGATTTTACTGAAAAATGAAACAATATTTCTTTGGATTTTTTTTTCTTTGCCAAAATTATTTGTCTGTAGTTCTTGGTCAAGAGTAAAATTTAAACTTTACAAAAAAAATTGATATCAGTTAATTATCAATACTGAAAAAGGTTAGTTCACTTAACAATAGAACACAGGTATTTTGAAAAAAATATTAGTAAAGGGATTCATATTATTTTTTTTTATTTACACTTTCTATATTTGTTATCACAAATTCAACTTTTGCACACTTTTCATTTATTCATACAAATCAACTGCTTAAAAACTCCTTAAACATAAATCAGCAAACTTGGACATTTGTGTACCCCCCAAAAAAACGAGTGTCAAAAAGACAGTTTTTCCCTTAACACCACTATTATTTTAACTACCTGCACTCCTCAGCAATGTTTAGTGTTTTAAAAAGCAATGATTAGAATCGTAATAAAACCTAAATATATGAAAGTGAATTTATATATTTTCTTTGTTCTGGACAACTGATAACAAAAATAATAGACACTATTTATTTATTAGATTTTTTATTTACACAACTTATAGATGGAATAGATGGTAAATAATAAGGATTTTTTTATTTACACAACTTATAGATGGAATAGATGGTAAATAATAAGGATTTTTTTATTTACACAACTTATAGATGGAATAGATGATAAATAATAAGGATTTTTTTATTTACACAACTTATAGATGGAATAGATGGTAAATAATAAGGATTTTTTTATTTACACAACTTATAGATGGAATAGATGGTAAATAATAAGGATTTTTTTTTATTTACACAACTTATAGATGGAATAGATGGTAAATAATAAGGATTTTTTTATTTACACAACTTATAGATGGAATAGATGGTAAATAATAAGGATTTTTTTTATTTACACAACTTATAGATGGTAAATAATAAGGATTTTTTTTATTTACACAACTTATAGATGGAATAGATGGTAAATAATAAGGATTTTTTATTTACACAACTTATAGATGGAATAGATGGTAAATAATAAGGATTTTTTTATTTACACAACTTATAGATGGAATAGATGGTAAATAATAAGGATTTTTTTATTTACACAACTTATAGATGGAATAGATGGTAAATAATAAGGATTTTTTTATTTACACAACTTATAGATGGAATAGATGGTAAATAATAAGGATTTTTTTTATTTACACAACTTATAGATGGAATAGATGGTAAATAATAAGGATTTTTTTATTTACACAACTTATAGATGGAATAGATGGTAAATAATAAGGATTTTTTTTATTTACACAACTTATAGATGGAATAGATGGTAAATAATAAGGATTTTTTTTATTTACACAACTTATAGATGGTAAATAATAAGGATTTTTTTTATTTACACAACTTATAGATGGAATAGATGGTAAATAATAAGGACTTCCTTATAGTTTTTATATTTTAATAATTTAGTAAATGTTTATAAATTTATGAATAAAAAACTGTATTCATATTTATTGCAATTTCCACTGGATTTAAAGCCTTGGTTAAAACATATCTAGTTCTCTCACAGTTGTGAGTTCAATCCCTGCATAGTGCTGAAATGTCACATACTATGATTCAGGGCAAGAAATGATCAAGTAAATCGAGTGAATAAGAATTGGTAACACTCATAGTCCTGGATATGATGATCTACATTTGGCAGCAAGTCCACTGATCAAGAGATTGGAGGTTTTGAGGAGCATGGAACCACCTCTTAATTGCTGTTGTTCCCAGGTTCACTCTGAGCTGGGGTGGTAGATCTATTAGGGTCTTAGCTATGGACTAATAGTGAACCCATAATTGAGGATCGAGACACTAGATTTTTATAGTAAAAATACTGACAATAGTTTTTTATAAAAAAATTACTAACAATAAATTTTTGTAGTAAAATTATCAATACATTTTTAAATCAAAATGACCTGTAATATATTTTATAGTAGAATTACTAACAATATATTTTATAATAAAATGAGTGACAATACATTTTTATAGCAAAATGACAATCAATACAATTCTAAAAAAGTATAAAAATACATTTTTATAGTAAAATTACCAGCAATACATTTTTTTTTAAAATACAAAAAATACTTTTTATTATTTATAAACAATATCCTTTTCTATATCCTTTAATATATTCTTTAGTATATCCTTTTCTATATGATTTTCTGTATCTGAAAAACTTGTTAGCTGTGAAAGTATAAAATTATGTACAAAATATCTGCAGTTGAAGGCATAATATTGTGGTCAAAATACAAGGTGCGATGGATAAATTGTCATCTAAATTATGCAAAAATGAAAATAACACTGACATCTCATTTTAACAGATATATTTACTTTGGTAAATATTACACAAAATGAAAATCTTGAAATGCTAAAGAGTAAATTTATTCAATAAAATTGTCATTGGCTTCAACCACGACCTCCAGATGACTTTGGAATCTCCTACAACTGTTCTGGACGGTCTCATTATTTAAGTTGGTGAATGCTGCCATAATCTTTACCTTCAGTTTATCTTTGGTGCTACAAGGAGTTTTGTTGGTCTCTCACTCAACTGTGTCCCACACATAATAATAAAGGGGGTTGAAGTCTAGGGAGTTAGGTGGCCAGATGTAAGGGGTGATGTGGTCACAGAAATTCTTTGACAGCCATGACTGGGTTCTCCTGCTTGTGTGGCAGCACTAACTCCTCAAGGCACTTGATGTAGGCCTCCGTGTAGAGTCTGAGGTCCTCACCAACAAATTTTGGAGTTTTTTTCTTATCAGAATGAATTTTCCAAGCTTCCCTATCTTCGTAATCACCATTAGACTCATCCAACTCTTTCTGAATCCTCTGCAATGTCCTCAGATTGACATCCAAACACTTTGAAATGTTTGTATTGGAGCTTCCAGTAGAAATGCCAAGCAGTACAGCATGCTATTTCCAAATTTCTGGCAGAGTGAATTGCATTATGGTGCTGTCTTTCTCACAGATGGTGCCCAACTGACCCTACTATACTGTGCCAAGAAAATAAAAAAAACAAACAATGCACATGTGCAAAATGAATGAATATAAAAAGGCGACAATTTATACATCGCACCATCGTTTGGCATTGAATATCTCATAAAGGCTGATTTACTGCTAAACAAAGATAACCAACCAATCACTCACACTCATGTCCTGCAGACTCACCGTGGAGTAGGTGCCCCAGTTCTCAAGTCTCATAGACTCCCCAAGGAGTATGGGGCTATAACTCTCAAGTCTCGTAGACTCTCTGAGGAGTATGGGCTACAGGTCTCAAGTTTTGTAGACCCCTGAGGAGTATAGGGCCCCAGCTCTCAAGTCTTATTGATCCCTGACATTGATGTTTGACATTGCTGCTGAGGTTTCCATAGCAATTAGTAGGTTTTTATGGGAGGGAGTTGCTATTAACATGCTGAACTGGTTTTGAATTTAGAGTTGTCTTTCTCCTAGACTGGTTACCAACCAAGGCTAAAGTGCCCAGTCTGCTCTACTATTAACCCATAGCTGGGGGTGAAGAAGAGATAGAGTCACACTTTTGCAAAGGTTATTTGTGCATTAGTGAATGGAATGAACTTGACTGGTAGTTGAACTCAGTTCTCCAAATTTACATTCTGAGTTTCTATGTATTACACAACTCATTGGCAAGCATTAACTTATAGGATTACCATGTTTCATGTAATTCTTACTATTATATCTCTCTCTTACCAGAGGATTACTATGTTGGATGTAATTCTTACTATTGTGTTTCTACCTCTTTCAGGTCTTGTTTATTGTCAGTAGACAATAAACGTTTACAGAACAAATAGATTCCATTCTTATTTATGAACAAGACCGCTGCAGGTGTCCATAAATTCTGAATCACTGGAAGCACCAAACTCCAAGACATGTTACCAACCAAGGAAACAATGAAGCCTGGTAATCTTGTGGCAGAGAAATCGGCTTGACTTTACTAGGCAGATGTTTAATAAGACAGTGTTGATTAAATGGAATAAGTCGAATTAGTGACGCAATCTTATCACAATTTTGACGAGTCCAACTCCAGCCTCATTCATCAAGTTCATTAACGTAAAAATAAAGTCCCACAGGTAGGGTTTGCAGATTTGTTTAATTAATAAAGCTAGACTATTAAATACTAGTTAGGAAATAATACTTCCTAAGCATGGAAAGTGGAATGAGAACTGAAACTGGAAAGAGTACAGGTTCAAAATTTGAAGTAGGTTTGTGAGAATGAAGATAAACACCTGAAAGAGGCTGGAGAGTGGAACAGCCAAAATGTTGTGAGTATAAGGCTTATGGCCATATCACGTTGAAACACCAGTTCTCATACAGTCACCAGAGTTAAGCAATGGTGAGCCTGGTCAGTACCTAGATGGATAACTGCTTGGGAATACCATGTGCTGTAAGCTTGGATGTGCAGCTGATGTAATGGATAATGGTTTGGAATTGTTAATCAGAGAGCCGAGTTCCAATTCCAGTTGGGTTTGTTATATTCACTTATGTGCAAATAACCTTGAGAAAGGTACGAGTCCACTTTTTTCTCCTCCACGGCTATGGGTTAATTTGTGAGATTCATATCACTAAACTATTATTATCTTTAGAAAAATTCTTACAATCTAAAGAAATATTTTCTTTAAATAACCTGCAAAGGGTTGATAAGCCATAAAAATGAATCAATGAATTGTGAGTATAAAAACCAAGTTGGGCATGATGGTCCAAGTAGAATATATATATAATAAATACTAATTCCTTATCACAAAAATTCTATGAAAAAATGTCTTTAAAAAAATTGTTGAAAGTTCTAAATCTTTTGTCCTGAAATGAAATCTAGGTGGAGAAAAGAACCCACTGACACTAGACACCAAAAAGTAGACAACACTGAGGATGACTGATAGAAAAAAATGCTCTTTTAAGATGGTTGGCAAAACAAAATAATATTAGTTTGTTGAAAATAATTGTTCACTGGAAACACTTAACTGACTAAACTGACCAACATTGCTGAATGTTTTTCTTGGGAGGTATGTAGCTGTCTATATTTCTGAGATGAGGTATTATGTACACTATTTACATTATTTGGGCTATCGTCCTCATCTTTGTTGCCATGTTTATCACAACATTTCGGCCGTTGTACACTCTGGCTTTCTTTGGGTGGTTGGAATGTTGAACTGAACACTTTATTTCGCTCGCTGGAGTAGACTGTTCTAGTTCCCCGTGTCATGTCTAATGGATTTCAGTTGCCTCCCGTTAATTCCCCTCTCCAAGTTCTCCACTGCCTTAACCAGGTATTGAACTCACACTCTTTGGGTCCTGTCACTGGATCTAACTAATGCCTTTATCCACTGTGCTTTAGTTTTATATTTTTATTTAATTCTTTAGTTTCTTCTGCCAACACTGAATGAAAAGAAAAAAAAATTGTTGAAACTTGTTAGCATAGATAAGTGAAAAAATTTTTACTTTAATAAATTCTTCAAATATTTATGTCCCTCCCACCAAAAAAAAAAGTAATAATTTTTCTGCTTTCCACCAACATGGCTGATGTTGACCTCTTGGAGAGGAACTTGTTATGCCTTCTCAGGTTAACATTCTCGATATGAAGTGGAAAGACTATATTGAATCTATTGCTAGGTCTGCTGCTAAGAAAGTTGGTTCACTGTGTCATGCTAGACAATTTTTCTCTTCAGAATCTTTCTTAAATATTTACAGGTCTACCATTCATCCATGCTAAGAATATTGTTACCATATATGATCTGGTGAACCTGTTATATATTTAGAGATAAAATCTTGATAAAAATCCAAAGAAGAATCAGCAATATTATTGGTCTTGACCTGACATCTCGGCTTCAATCACTTTCTCACTGCTGTAAAGTTGCCTCCCTGTCCTTTTTCTATAAATACCTTCACAGTTATTGTTTGGATGAGCTCTTCACTATGGTACTTACACTTTATGAATTTAAGCACATTACTAGATTGGCAATGAGGTCTCATCAATTTACAGTTGAATTGACTAGATGCAACTGTAACTTCTATGCTAACAGTTTCTTTTCTCACACTTCTTACTTGTGGCGCCATACTTTCCAGTTAACTTTAATCTTCAAAAATTTAAATGCAATGTTAAACATTATTGTTATGGAGTGGTTTCACAGTGGAGGCTTGTATTTGTACTAAGTCGGTCCTAAAATAGGTTCGACGTACAAAACGTTAGGAACTTGATATAATAGGTAATGATGCAGAGAAATTTGGTGTGGTCGCTGATACTTTAGTATTCGACTAACGGTCGTCCGGCATCGACTAACTGACCAACTCACTGAGCGACTCCTTGTTACTCTTACTACTCTTACTTATTATAGGTGGGAGAGTCTATTAACTAAAGAATAGGTGTGTTCCATTATAACCGTTATGTACTGTCTTTCTGATTACTCTTCTATTGTTCTTGTTCTTTAGTAATGTTTCTGCTTTCTAATTCTTTCACGCCCAGTAACCTCTTGTGCTTTAGTGACTTTACTGACTTGGTTGGGGTAAATCTGATTAAAAAACGGTAAATAAAAATAGCTTGATATGTTTATTTTAGATAATGTCTAATGAGACTTTAACTAAGTTAAAACTTTAAATATATATTAGTCCTCTGCTAACCAAATAACCTGTGTCTTCCTAATGCCAACTTTACCATTCAGTAGTTATGTCTTTTCATATTGGTGGATTAACTTTTCTTTGTCTTTCCTAATTTGTATGCACCATGTTTGGTTGATCATGTGACCCTTAATGACCAATGAGTGATGTGCTAGTGAGTCCAGAGAGGAGTTTTGTGATAGATGCTGTGAAGAGTGGATGCTCCTTTGCCATGTTGGAAAAGCATAGCCTTTTACAAAATGATGTGCTGAAATTGTGAGTAAAGACAGACTTTTATTATAAGCACTAGTCTTGAGTTTCAGGGCCCAAGTGAGGACATGCAACATATTTCAAAACTTTGTTATCATGCTTAAAATAAAATCTGTCATTTATATACTTCCCAATTTTCTCTAGCTGTTCTTTAATATTGGGTAAATAGCAGTGGCAAAAGGTGACTTAGAAACCAAGGTATATTATCTATGATGCAGGACAATCGCCAAGGTAGGGAGTGTAGCAGTGGAGCCCCCACCTCCCAGATAAATTATCCTCACTCCAATCTGTGAATGTGATATGAACTAATTTTAATGTGAAAAAATGCACTTTCTACCAACAGGCCATGCTTCAAGTTTGATACCCCTCTCTGCTGGACTGGATGTCCCATCACTAGTAATACTCTGGCAACAGGCCTGCCATGATGACCATTATTGGTTCTGAATATAGAAGCAAAAGAGGAGTTAACCAAAAACAACCTGGCAATAGACAATGCTAACAGAACTGCAAAGGATAGGTTTGTCTTCAGATGAAGCCCAGTTCAAAACATTAAGACAGGGTTCAATAATGGTATATGATCACAGTCTTATGTCCTAGTTAGGACAAAGAGGTTAACATAATATGATGTTTATGATGCATTGCTAGTATATAGGATATGCGGATCACATACAGGATGTGTAGGTCATGTAACAGTAGCACAGAAAGGGAAACTGGTGAGCTAAGTTTGAATTTCAGCTGTGTTCATTGCATTCACTTTTGCATGAATAGGAAAAGGTATGAATTCATCTCTTCTCCTCTCCCCAACTATGAGTTAAATAGCAGAGCCAAATTGGCTCTTGAGCCTTGATTGGCAACCAGTCTAAGAAAAGGACAACTCTGAATTCAGAAGAGGTTGATATATTAATGAGCAGGTAGAAACTGTTCAGCATTGCTTGGCAAACTATCTAGACAGGATGATAATTCAAATACATATACATCAACAATCTAGGCCACTTGTGGATATGTATCAGCTCGAAAAGTACACACAATGACTGAAATGCTTAAGTCTTGTGAGGTGTGCAATCTGCTGCTGGTAAAGATAGCTTAACCCAACACAAGGCTAAATGGGTGGAGTAATAGAATTAAGAGGATTGTATTATACTATTCTTTTAGGATGGAAGTGTCTGTTTAGAAAATCAGAATTCAAAATCTTGATTTTTACTCAGTTTTTAACACTGACACTAAGTGGAGGTGGAGAGGATAGATAACTGTTTCAACCATAAACCAAGTTTGTTTGTTGTATCAGGAAATGTTAGAAAAAGAATTAACTTTTTAAGAATATGGAATGTATTAACTCTCTTGTGTACACTATGTATAATGTATCCTGTCACAAGTATATTTTATTTTATTTTATACCTACTAAGCAGTATGAAAAAAGAATAAAAAAATATGGTCTTACTTCTAATAATTCCCAATGGGAATTGGGTCTGCTGGAGATTGGTCTGTGTTTCTGGAAAAGCCTTATTTAGGATTCCAGATTCAAGCAGGCCAGATTTATCTGCTATGTCAATAGTAAGGACACATTTCTCTTAAACAATGAAGCAGTGAGTCATGGGTTTTCCCCAAATTGAGGACTGTGAGCTGGAGATAGTTTCTATAGCTTGTGAAGATATATTTCCTTAAGAAAACGGTGCCATAGGCTTGTGAGATGCAATATGTAACAGCTGCTTGCTCCGAGCAGAATGAGCATCTCATATATCTTGACTCCAGGCAGTTGATGAACTACTTTTGTCACTCTATGAAGTGATATCACTAAGTGGCTGTCACATAACCCATGTGACTTCATCCCGGCCAAAGGGAGATAATCACCTTTTGTATCCCTACAAAGGCATAGCAGACAACACTCCTCATATGACCACAATAGTATCTTCACTAAAATCTATCACCTAGATAAATATCTTTCTCCAACACAAGAAAATATCCTGGTTCAACAGATGATACAATATTGTCAGAAACTAACAACACCTGAAACAAATTGGTAACCTAATGGCATTACAAGTTTTTCAAAAAAACATATTGTCACTCACTTTCTCACTCATAAAGGTAGTAGTTTGTTAAATAATGGATTTTTCTCTCCTTTTCTGTGCTATGTTTCACATAGCTCTGTATATATATATATATATATATATATATAATAGTATCTATTGACCTGGATATTCTAACCTACCTAAGAGACATCATCTTTAGGTCCGACGTGCTTATGCCAATCAGCCATGAAGAACATTTGCCAATCAAGCAAAGTTGAATAGTGCCTTTAAGTGAAATCCTTCTCATCATACACTCTTGAGATTTCATATCTGCTCAGTTTTGTATCCAAACGTAAACAAAGCAATTGGTTAAGAAATAATGGATTTTTTATTTATTAACCCAACAGATTTTATCACTTTAAATGTTATTTTAGTGAATACTCATATTTGAGTAGATGCTCTGTCTATTTATTAAATGGTATATTAATTTATTTTCGTCTACTAGTTTTAAAATTCAAAAAATCT